CTCGATACGACTTCTTATGCTATAATTACTTGTCTGTTTTTTTTACAGTGATATATATATATAATACAATGTATTAAAAACTTTGAAAGTCCTGTTACAGACCACAAGATTAGGTTTTGGGTTTCGTTCTCGATACTTCTTATGCTATAATTACTTGTCTGTTTTTTTTACAGTGATATATATATATATATATAATACAATGTATTAAAAACTTTGAAAGTCCTGTTATAGACCACAAGATTAGGTTTTGGGGAGAATTCAAATTACTCGTGTCCTCACAGATTAACTAAATCTAAAATCAAACCGATTCGTGGAGATTATCAATCCGAATCAAATCGAACCGTAAAATAACAGATTAGTTCAATTAGACTTTTTCAAATAGCCCAATATAATCATATTGTAGTTATGCTCAGTCCAATATATGATTATATTTTACTATTTTAGTTATGGCTCAACCAAACAATAAATCTGTCAAAACAATGTGTTGTAACACATTTAATCTAAAAAAAACAATAAGAAAGTGAGTGATGGAGATTTGCAAAAAAATTTCAGATGTTATGGTAGTAAATTAATAATATGGTTTCTTCTAGAGATGAGGAACAAAGAGAGAGAGAGTCGATAGACATGCAAAGAGGCAGAGGCTAGGAGTAGAAAACCTAGGGTCAGATACGCTTATGTAGGGCTAAAATTTAAAAGCAAATAATGAATAAAAAATAAATAAATAGAAATAATATATTACAGTATACATATAAATTATATATATATATATATATATATATATAAAATATAATTCACAGATCGGATCGGTTAATGGATTGGTTCAGTTTTTTTCAAAGTTCAATCCGTTAACCGAACTGCTCATTGCGGATTGCTAATTTTTAAAACTATCACTGAACTATTAGATCAAAAAACCGAACCGAACCGAACCACACGAATCGGATTGGTTCGGATCGGTTTGACAGATTAGCGGATTATTTGAACACCCCTAAATAAAATATTACCCAAAGGAATAACTTTATGTGATGCAACGCCGCCAGTCGAATTTAGATAGGTACTGGTAATGTATATCACAAAATTTAGAAAATTTTCTTAAACCCTCGATATTATATAACATTAAACTAAAATCTTATGCTCCTACTTGTTATGATAATTTTTTAAAAATATATATATATCAAAGAATTATAAATAAATATATATAACTTAAAGAAAAAACTAGAAAAATACTAGAACTATTGTTTTCAATCCAATAGATGAGGTGAGTTCGAAGCAGCACTGATCCGACACGTGTTAAATATCAATACCTCATGGACTCTTTTAGATTTGTTTTCGACACTTCGTAGTCGTGTCTATAATTTAAATATGATTTTATTAGTATTATTATGGGTGCTTGGTCAAAACATTTTGGAGACTTAGTCTACATTTTTCGGACACTCAACTACACTATACTTTGTATTAAAAAAAACATATAATAATTTTAAAAATAACATTATAAACATGAATCAAAGTGTCTAACTACTTTTAATAAAAACAAACAAAAACAAAATTGACATTAAACAAATGCAGTAATATAAACAAAAACATAAAGAAGATAATTTGTAGTAATATCGTATATAATATAATAAATTTTTTATATATTCAAAAAGTTTTCCCTCTAATCAATAAATATATAAATAAATATTTATATTTATATTAATTGTGTCATATTTTATTTTTGGGTAAATTACATTGACACCTCCTGAGATTTTGGTCAACGTCACTTAGTGGTTAATCAACGACCTTTTTTTACATTGACACCCTTTGAGATTTCAAAAGTTTGCATTAACTCCCCCTCCAATCCTACGACACACTATGAAATTTAGCCATTTAACTTGTCAACATAGGCACAAAAAATGAAAATAGACCATACTAGCCTCTCCACCTCAAACACCTACCCACAATGCTGCAACCACCACTACCACCACCTCTTCTTTCCTCTATTCCTTCACACACACACACACACACGTGTATATATACACACACACATATACGTTTATGTATGCCTTCCAACATGTAATTATTCGTCAATACAAATCCACATATTTGTATATATATACATATATGTATATATACACACACATATATATATTCAATTGAGATCGGGTGGAAGAAGTGGTGGGAGTGGCGGTGACATGGGTCTCACATATTGGGTAATGGTGGCGATGGTGGTTGGTGGTAAGAATGAGTCGGCGTGTTTGAAGTGGCGATGGTGGGTGATGGTTGTAGGGTGAATGTTGTGGTGGTGGCAATGAGTGGCAACTCCATAGCTCTCTCTCATCATTGTGTCTGCAATTTAGGGTTGGTTTATTATATGGTTAAATGTGTTGCAACTTCTCAGCATAGGGATGGCTTGTATAATAATTTGATACGGTTAATATATTTTTAATAAAAATGAATGGGTAACGTACACTGACATCCCCTAAGGTTTGGGATAAGGACATCCAGATAAAAGTTTGTATATTTTTGGACAAAGACACCCCCTGGTGAAATTTATCATCCAAACAAAGCCTTAAAACATGTGAAAAGTCCACTTTACCCTTCACTATTTTATTAATTTTAATTATAAAATATCAAAATACTTAAATGACCAACTTACCATTTTCATCTCTCTCTCTTTATGTATATATATATATATACAACCAGAGTCACCACCACCCCCAACCTCCATAGTCACCACCCACTAAAGAAGACGCCGAAGAGGAGCTCTGCCACCGCCACCTTCTCGACCTTGTCGGAGCTCGGCCTCAGTATGGGCGAACTCGGCCTCTGTGAATCCCTATTGTAATAGGAGAGATCATCGGGAGAGATTGGTGATTTCAATGGTGGCCATAGATTCCGACGCCGGCAAAGCTGTGTCCTATAGGTCAACGAACAGATGGTTTTGGTGTAGTGGGATCGCTGCCGTGAAGGTATCAAGCAAGGGCTCGAATGCTTACCTTCGGAATTTTCGATAGTGTTCTCGGAGTTGAATCGTCGACAGAGAGATTCCATTTAGCTCCCGAAAATGACAGAACTAGGCACTTGCTTGGAAATTGCTCTGGCTCACCTCTTCTAAGATCTCCCCATTCATGAACCATTTTATAACTGAGGAGTAGAACTCAAATTTAGGGATTTTGTTTCACCCAACGAATAGGGGGGGATCATAGCCTCTAACGCTGGGGATATGTTAGTAGGTTGAGGTTAAGTGAAATTGACATCTTGTAGATAGTATTGTGTGGGCTAGTGAGATATATATTTATATATATATAATTATCTTTTTGTGTGTGTGTGGATATATATATGTATATATGTGTATTAAAAAAAAAAAATTGAAGGATAAAGAAGTGATTGGGTTGAATTAAAGTCGGCTTAGTTGGTGTTAGGGCTGCGAGGAGAAAGAGAGAACGGAGACAGAAATGGGTAGAGGATAGAAAGGTCATTTCAACATTCAAATTGGTCAATATAAAAGTCAAAGGGCAAAAATGTCAATTCATTACCATTGGGATGTCTTTGGTAGTTGTATCAAACTTGAGGGGGTGTCTTTGTCCCAAAATAGGATAAGTTGCATCTGTGTGTCCTTTTGGCAAACTTCAGGGAGTGTTAATATACTTTACCCAAAATGAATTAAAAATTAGGGACATTTATGACATTTCAAATAGTAAGAGTGTCAATATAAAAACTTCTGTTAACCAACCGCTGAGTGGCGTTGACTAAAACCTCGGGGACATCAATGCAATTTTCCCTTTATCTTTTTAAAATTAACATATTAACAAATAAAAAAATGAGTGAAGTGCAGAAAACACCTATAATGTATACTTTCTGCAGTACTTTTACCCCTTATTTGAAAAAGCGTGCAAAAAACACCCCTATTCTTTTCACATTATGCAAAAACACCCCTCAAGAGTAAATCTGACATAAAATCATATTGCAATGCCCACTTTATCCTTTTACTATTCCAAAAATGTCCAAAAGGTGTTTTATGCATTTTACATATATATATATATGCCCACCAGTATAATAATAGTTGGTTTAGTCTTCATTAATTAAAAGGGTTTCAAGATTTTATCATCATCATCATATATATATATATATATATACACACACACCCACACACCAATATAATAGTAATTGGTTTAGTCTTTGCACAATTTTCCATACTAAACAATTTGACTTCATTAATTAAAAGGGTTTCTTTGCTTCTGGAAAAAATAAAAATAAAAATAAAAATAAATTAAAAAGGTTTCAAGATTTTATCATCATCGTCATGTCATTGGAAGAACTACTCCAATTAATTAATGCAATGTCATTAATAATTTGTAAATTGAGCCAAAATCCATGAAATAATTCATGGTGCAAATCAGTAATTATTCTTCCCATAATCACAATAAGGGTTTTGATCCTCAAAATCGAAAACCCAGATCGTTAACACGTTGCCAGAGTAAAAGAGGACCAAACTCAGGAAAACGTCGACGGAGGCAGGGGTCATCTCTCAATCACCTTCCTCATCATCGTCACCGTCGCCACTGAGGCTCCGACTACAGAAACCACCACTACCCCAATGGACTCAGTAGGGCTTCTACAGACGGCAAGTCGTTGTCTTCACAGATGTTGTAGAAGAGGAAGAGGTCGATGCGGCTCAATATTCTGATTGCTGTTGTGGTGGCGATTGTCTGACAACGCCGTCCGCGGCAGTGGAGGGAGAGTTCATCTTTGGAGACAGAGGACGACAACGATGATGATGATGATGATGAATTTGGGAAACCTTGATCTGTTGATTCCACAGGGTTAGGGTTAGGGTTAGGGTTGCTGGGGTCTTGAAAACAAAAATTGATTCCTTGAAAACACATTATATTTGTATCATATTTGGTCATTTCACAAAGTAATATATTTTTATATATTTTATAAAATTGCAATTTAGTTAAGTATACTTTAAATATGTCAAGATGGATTTATCTGCACAAATTAAAAATTCTAGGGGTATTTTTTGAACATCAGTAGTATGATATGGCCATGTAAACATATCACAGGAGTGTTTATCGCACTTACCCTTAAAAAAAAAAAAAAAAAAAAAAAATTCCAATTCCTCAGGGACGATTCCCTCCTCTTACCTTCTCGACAGCCAATCAAATTATCGAGCTTCACTGTGTACCTTCCACTCCGTTTATATCCATCTCCCATATTCCATATACCTTCGATTCTCTCAATAATCTTACCCCACTCGAAGCGAAGAATATATACGTACATATATATCTATATATCTGTATATAATCTGTATATGCTTTCTTGCAATTAATTCTAGGGTTTGTTGCAAGACCCAATTGTTGAACCAGTTCTTGATCAATCAAGTTTGATTTTTTTTCACGATTAGGGGTAGGGTTCTTCAGTTCAATCCCTTGCTCTGACACCATGAAGGTTCATCCAGCTCCGAGGAAGCGGAACATCACGCTGCGATACGACGTCGCTTCGACCCTCTCCAACGCACTCGCTAGCCGGCAAAAGAAGCTCCGAAGACTCCCTCACATATTCGCCAGAGTCCTCGAGCTTCCCTTCCACTCCGACGCCGACGTTTCGGTTGAAGAAGCCTCCGACTGCTTCCGATTCGTCGTCACCACCGACGACATCGGAGACGGCATCAGGGCCCACGCGATCGAGATCTATCCCGGGGTTACGAAGATAGTGATCAGAGGAACCGACGTTCTTGATTCGTCGCTTGATGAATTGGAGCTCGACCTTTGGCGGTTTCGTCTTCCTGCGTCGACGCGGCCGGAACTGGCGACTGCGGAGTACGACGACGGAGAGCTCGTGGTGACGGTGCCCAAAGATTTGAATTTGGTCGGGGCGGATGGTGGTGTTAATGGGAATCGAGAAGAGCTTTGGGGGGAAGGGAACGGCGGAACGGGACGTCTTCTTCTTGTACAGTAACTAATACACTTCCCTTGCTCTCAATTTGCTTTCCTTGTTTCCTGTAAGTTAAATTGTCGTTTGAAAAATGGCATGAAACATTTTCAATTGCTTTGACAGTTTGATGATTGTTCAATGAAGAATTGCCTTTCCTTAGTTATTATATTTGCTCCATTCCACTTATTATGCTTTCTTATAGTATGCTTGAGTCTTGCTTTGATTTGGGTTCTGAATATTTGTGCATATTTGCGTGTGTGTGTGCGCGCGCGTGTAAGAAAGGAGAGAAAAATATTTTATCTTTGAGAATGGTTTATTAATTGGTGAGGCTTGCAATAGATTTTGGTTTTTGGAGTATAGTACATCAGGGAAAGTTTGTGGTCCAAAAATGTGTCAATATCTTATTTTATCAACATTGATCTAATGATATGTGTGTGAGAGGGCCTAGTTGTAACATTATGCTTTGACCCTTTTATAATTGCTTTCTCTTCTTGAAAAGTATGTTTTCCTTGGAGTTGCTATTCTTTTAGGAGGTGTATATCATATGCATTCTTGGAAAATCTAAGAAGGGCACTTTGAATGCAAAAGCACATTGTTAATCATTCTGTTTTAGGTTGAAAAGGAGCCAAATCATTGATAATATGTTTTAGTATGTGCCCTCCGTTCGTTTACATTTTTATATTCTGTCTTCTTTCTTCACTGAAACAACACCCCAAAAAAAGAAGTTAAATCATCTTGATATATATGTGCAAGGTATATTTACAGGTGCAATGGTAAAAGTTTGGACCGACAAGTATGAGGATGTGGATTCAAGCATGAGAGTAGTCATTTTGTGCGAAATAATGCTAAGGATAAGATTTGTCTCCAGTTTTAACCTTCCCTTGTGTAGGGAGAATGGTAATATCTGTGTAGACTTGCTTGGGTTAAGTTTCCTCTTATAAATATATTTCTTTCTTTTTTTCTCATCTCTCAAAGTGAATGTCTTCAACTTGTTAGCAGTTTGACAGGTTCACAAACATTCATGTGAGGCTACTGTGTGTCACATTAATCTTCTCTAAAAGTGCTCAATAAAGCTTCTTTAATTATGGAACCTGTTGATTTCTATCAGCTATTCAGCTTCAGTAATTGTAAATTTTATATTTTGGGTTCCTGTATTCGAGTCTTTAGGTTCGTGTATCCGGTACTTCTCCCTAGAAATGTTGCCACTGCAGCATCTTCTCTTTAATTATTAACTTATATTTTCTTGTATTGCACCCTTGAAATGTTTATGACTAAATTTCCTTCCAAAATCGTATCTGTTAATTTTTGTTTAGTTGCTCTTTCTTTTGTGTTTTTCTAATTTAATAGAGGGAAGAAACCAGAAATTCTTAAGAAACTGATGCAGTTTTAGAAGAACAAGATGAAAATAGGGCAGTGAAAAAAAAATGCAGAGGAAACTAATTTGAGATACAAAATGCAGAAGGCACAAAAAGCAATCAGATAATTTCCTTGCAAATAGGCGTGCAATGACAAATTCAAGATTTTTGTTTGAAAGGAGGTTTCTCCAACTTTTTGTGTGCTATATTATTGGAGGCAGAGAGTAATAGTATATATACAGTCTAATCTGCATGGAATGATTAGCATTGGCTTTTCTTTCAATACCTGTAGAGGCCTTTAGAGTGAGGATTAAATGTTTTTAGTTGAATTAAGGGATAAGGTAATGAGGTCTGTGAATTTATGAACGAGGACTCTACATCCACATTCATTTAGGAATAGTGAGTTGTCACTCATTTAGGATTAGTGACTTCTAGTCTCTGGCCTGAAGCCCGTCTGGCCTCCTGAGGACTTCAAAGCTGAATTACCCAGATGTCAGTAAGGAATTCCGAATTTCACAACTTGAATTTGAGACTCTTGTTTAGTCTGTTGTGAGCACCGTGGATCCTTACCTGCTTATATAAGAATAAAGATGTGGCATTTGGTCCGAAAGTTTCAACAACGATAAATTCTGTTGAACTTCTAATTTTAATTTGGGACATTGCCATTGCCATTGCCATTGCCCTTGCCCAAACAATTTCCCGGTTCATTTGATTTGCTTTAGGCTGAGGCTTTATCAATCCTCCTTTTACAATGGAGACAGAAGATTCAACAGAAAAGTTGAATAACGGGAATGCCACCATAAGCTAATTTCATATTAACTTCTTTCTGTAGAGTTGCATGGATTAGGATATATAGCATTTCCATAATATTGCATTCTTCTTTCTATTATAATAATTTCCCGCAAATGCCATGGTTGCTAGTTATTAGAAAATGGATCACCACGGGTGATCTTCAGGAAAGTAGTCTGTTTGGCCATGTTGTTCAATGTAGCATGAGCATTGGGTCCTTATGCCCCATTCCAGTGGTTTTTTATTTTTATTTTTAAAAAATCTCCTATGTTTATCATTATCTTCTATGTTCTCTTCTTTTTGGAGGGTTTTGATGGATCATGTGGTCATTGTGAATCTTCTGACTGCATTTCTTTCCTTTGTTCTCTTTCTCCTTTCTAGATGTGATAAAAGAAGTGGGGTCTATATTTGTTTTGTGTGGCCTTTTGTGCGTGCCATACCACTGTCAATGACTTATTCTCATCCTTGTCGACACCACAAGCCATAGAAAGTGGCCAATTCAGAGTTAGGAAAGACAAAGGAAAGTGTTTGCTTTTATTCCGAAGTGAACTTTATCTTTGCTTTTTTACCTTGTAACTTTTTCTTTTCCTGTTCCACTATCGTTGGATCATTCAACTGGAATAAGCATAAAGTGTTTGTCAGTTCAATGGTCTGTTTTCACTTGCATTCGAATATTTGATAGATATTGTTGAGGGAGAAATTTACGTGGTTTGATACGACATTATTTTCCTGTAAGAAGAGAGTAGAAGATTGATGAATCTTGACGGCACCGGTGTGGTGCCTGTCAAGAGCTCTCCGACGATCAAGTCAGTTATCGGAGGTTTAAAAGAAAGGCAGGGATTTAATAATCGTTTTTTGACGTACCTTTATTGACTAGTAGGATCTCATTCTTATAGTCGCTTTTCCTCAGTTCATTTGCGAGATCAGAAGAGATCCGCTTGTGCGAGATCAGAGGAGATCCGCTTGTTGTCAGATTTGTCGTGGATATGATTTAACCCTTTTGACTTCCTCAAATTGTGCCAATGTTATCCTTACCCTGTTGAACCACGTCATCTTTCATTATCCTTGATAATGAAATATTATCATTCTTATCCAATGGAAATATCATCGTTCGAAAGTCGAAGAGATCTGACGGCTGGTCAACACTTAGTTGCCTATATTGTTAGGTTTAGGTAGGTTGGGTTTATTTTTTCCTAACAGTTGCCCACCATTCCCAAGCTTGCTCGTTTAACTCTGGGAATGTGAATTTTTTTTTTGCCCTGGGTACTGTTCACTTGAACAGTATTTTTTTTTTTTTGCCCTAGGCACTGTTCATGTGAACAATAAATTTTTTTTTGCCATGGCCACTGTTCCCTCAGGAAAAGTGCCTGCGGGTTACTGTTCATGTAAACAGTAATTTTTTTTTTGGTACCATTGGGTACTCTTCTCTTGGGTAATGTTCTCTTGTGTAATCTTCCCAATGGTGGAATTAATACAGATACCAAATCAAGGTTCTGTTTTGGAAGGGCATGGATTCAAACCCATGGTCAATGACTCTTAGTGATGTAAAACTGGATTTTTCTTTTGAAAATCCAATATACTAGTTGTAAACTTCATGGGATTTCAGTCAGCCCATCCCTTTGGCAAGGGATTAAATTTTACGAGTTTCATTCAACTCGTCACTCTTTTAATAAGGGAACGAGTTTCACTTAGCTCGTCCCTTTAGTAAGAGAATTAAATTTTACGAGTTTCACTCAGCTCGTCCCTTTAGTAGGGGAATTAGGTCTTACGAGTTTCACTCAGCTCGTCCCTTTAGTAAGGGAATTAGATTTTTGTTAAGCGTCGGGAATGCCAAGTTCTACTGAGCTAAGCATGCTTGATGATTACTTTCTTATCCCTTTTAATAAGGGAAGTATATTTGCTCGAGCATTGTAAGCTCACCCTTTAATAAGGAAGTAGTCAACCCTTCGTCTCTTTATCGAGAGAAAAAAATGAAGTTGACCCTTCGTTCCTTTATGGGGGAAAGAGGTATAGTCTGAAGGAGAGTGACCCCTTTAATATGAGAGATAGTCGTCTCGTCTCTCTAGTAAATGAAGGAAGCTTTAATTATCTCACCCTTCTGTGTAGAAGAAGTAGTCGGCTTCTTGTCCCTTTAATGAGGGAAGAATGTGTTGTTGGCCCTTGGTCCCTTTAATGAGAAAACCTTTAATAAGGTGTAGTCAGCCTCTCGTCCCTTTAATGAGGGAAGAATGTGTTGTTGACCCTTGGTCCCTTTAATGAGAAAACCTTTAAGAAGGTGTAGTCAGCCTCTCGTCCATTTAATAAGATAAATAGATTATTATGAGCTTAATATTACCACATAGGTAGATAACTGAAAACGTAATATTTTATTGCGTAAAATTTGAGGGTCATCCATCTCATTGGTGATGGTGACTTTATTGGAAAACAAAATAACACGTGAGGGAGCTACCCTCTATTTAAAATGATGAACTGAGATGTCCCCAGTCTTATTTTGAATGACTTGATAAGGCTAATTCCAACTGTGAGACAATTGTTAGTCGGTATACTTATTTGAGTCCTCCTCACGATATGTCCTATCGTTTTGGCTGAAGAATGATTTCTTATAGCTGGTATCCTTTTCATCCCTGGTGAGAGGGGCTGACCTCTTCTCGTCCTCTCTTTCCTTTCCCTTCCATGCATTCATGGCGTCTTCAGCGTTCATGTGTTTCTGCGCTCTGATCAACAACTCTGCCATGTTGGTGGGAGGTTTTTTAGATAAGGCGAACAAGAATCTGGAGATTTGGAGTCCTCCTATGAAAGCGGTCAAAGCCACCTTGTCGTCCACCTCTTCTACCTGCTACATCTCTGTGTTGAATCGGGTGATGTATTCCCGGATCGACTCTCCCTTCTGTTGCTTCACGATAAGCAGGTAGGTGGCCGACCTCTTATGCCTCTGACCTGCAATGAAGTGGCTGACAAATTACTTACTCAGTTTTTTGAAGGTGTTAATGGTTTCTTGCTTCAGCTTGTTGAACCAAACTCTTGCCGATCCCTTAAGTGTAATGGGAAAAGCTCGGCACATGATTTTATCTGGCACGGCGTGTAAATGCATAAGAGCTTGAAAGGTCTCCAGGTGATCGAGGGGATCTTTGGTCCCATCGAAGCTTTCGAACGAGGGCATCCTAAACTTACTAGGCAGGGAGCATTTCATAACGGCGGGGCTGAACGGTAAGTTGATCCTCTGCACCAGGTCATCTATGGCGGCAGGACCTTTCCCTTTCATAGCCTGCATTACATCTTCCATTTTCGCCTTGAGATCCTCAATCTGTAGGTCAAAATAGGTAACTTTCTCTGTCTTTTCCTTAACATAGAAGGTTGTGCTTGTTTGAGACTGGGGATTCCGCGGAAGTGGGGAAGGAGGTTCTCTGTGTCGATTTCCGACTTGGCTTTGTTCTGCCTCGAACTTGTGAGAATGATTGTTTTCTCGGTCCTCTTCGTTTTCTCCCCCATCATTCAGATTGGGAGGATATAGGTCGGACAATTCTTGTTGAGGTAGTGGTCCCGCTGGGATAAGATGTTGCAGGATCTCTGCATTTTGCTGAATCAACTGGTCCATACCCTGACTCAGAGTTTGGACCTGTAGTTCTAACGTTGCAAGCCGTTCTTAGTCATTCGAGATGTCTGGGTGTTCACCCGACCCTTTTCTTTGACTGGATCCCTACAACGATATTTCTTTTTCAGTTACCATACCGGACCGCAAGTGCATATACCCAACCGAGTAATTTATTGATTTAAGGGAATCGTCATTTCCCACAGACGGCGACAACTATTTAGGTAGAAATCAACGCGGTCCGATACGACACCGTTTTCCTGCAAAGAAGAGAGTAGAAGATCAATGAATCTTGACGGCACCTGTGTGGTGTCTGCCAAGAGTTCTTCGACGATCAAGTCAGTCACTGGAGGTCTAAAAGAAAGACAGAGATTTAATAATCATTTTTTGACGTACCTTTATTGACTGGTAAGATCTCATTTTTATAGTCGCTCTCCCTCAATTCATTTACGGGATCAGAGAGATCCGCTTATGTAATACCCCTAATTTTAAAAAGATAGTCTTGTTATTTATTTATTAATTTTAATTGTATTTTTAATTATTTAATTTTAATTGT